GTTCTGCATTTCCCTCTGCATTTTCTAAATCCCATAATGAAGATTTACCTTAAATCTTGATGGTTTCATTCCTAAACCAAAGTTTGACTCCTCTCTGGTCTGCCAATTAGACTTGTGGTTCCCTTAATGAATAAGAATTTTTGATTTTACAACTAGTGGACCTTGTTGGTGGTTACTACTTCTGATATTTTTGGATTCTTTTTCCGACGAATAGCTGTACATAGGTTCTACCCCATAATATAATCCTTAAGATTCTTATATTGAACAAATATACGTAATAGCAAAATTTGGTGTGGTACACTACATTGTGTCAAATTGGATTCAGCTTGTGAAGTATCAATCAGTGACCTTTTTTCAACTATGAATGCTTCTTCTACTATTTTCTACAGAAAGTAACCATAGCGCTAATAATTGGGTGCCCTTCCCAAATAAGTCCAATTTGGCATAAAAGTTAGTAAATAACAGATATTCATTCTTTATGTGGAACAATGATTTTCTCCGTAAAAATTGACTGCTATTTGGCTTAATTTACTGAAAGTTATGCATGTTAGTGGGCAAACCAAAATTTGCTGTTTGTGTTAGTTGGAAAGCTGCTCAAACAATTTGTCCTAAAAGCAAGTGTATACACACATTTCAAAAAGATTTGAGCACTTTTTCATGTGGCTGTAGGTGTCTTTCAAGATGGTCGGATCGACGTTATCTGGCATGTCCATTGATCCAAAATCTGTAAGTCCATATCCATTCTTAGCATGTCCACTCATCCTAAATCTGTAAGTCCATAGCCCTTCTTTTTTGTTCTTGTCTTGCCATGGAGAATCACTAAACCAGGTCTTTACACAACTTGCTTATGCTTGTATTTGAATCCTTATGCCTCTGCCAACCCCCTCTCTCTCCAGTTCTCAGGCTGTTTACTTTAACTATTGACAATCATCTCAAATCACCTGAATTGCAGTTACAATGTCTGTGCTGCAGTTGATTGCTCAACTGTCTTCCACATTGTAAAGGAGAAAGATCGCCTGTAATGTTGTGCAATTGGAGTCACTCTTGACTACTATGATCCACAAACAGTGTTTTGCTATAAATGCATAAGTGTATTAAAGCAGCATCTTTTTCTAATAAAAACTTTTAATATCTATACCCCCAAGAATGACAAACTCAGTCTCACCTTTTTATGTCCATCATGTAGCTTTACATGAAAACAACTGGAGGATATAAATGAAATTTTTTATGCTTTCTTCTTCAAAATGTGGATTTTACAGTACAAACCAGCTATGAAACATTTTATTGTTTAACAGGGCCAAAATAAGTTTTCCGTAAAAGTGTAAATCCAGCCACATGCAATCTCCTTTAGACAAATTTTGGAATCATCATTCATACGGCAACTTTATTTGCTTACACAATTTAAAATTGTAAGGCTGTATGCTATACTTTTGATTGGTTCAATGTTTTTAAGATAGTTTCCTGCTGGCTTATAATGTTGCTTGCATTGTTATTATTTTTTTATAGTTTTTCCTAGAAGGGAAGGAGGAGAAGAAAAACGGGAAGGGATTAGTGAAATAAAATGATCGAAAGCTTAGTTTATGATGAGTAGAAACTCGACCACCTGGCTATTGCTGTTCTGATCCTTATTCTTAACCGAGAGAGCATGAGGACTTTCTAGTGCTCCATAGTGAAGCTTGGCAATAGTGTACCAAGTCCTTATAAGAATCTTAGCCAAATTATTGACATATCTATTTCTCCCAGTCTTGGTCCTTGAAAAATTCAGAGATTGTATCCCATGAATGAAACTTATCTAAGTCTGTGTGTGCTTCTGTTAATCTTCCCTCAGCGGATTTGGATTTCAAATTGTGTGTTTTTCATTACAAGTGGCCGTGCAGTTGTGAATTCTCATTAGCTCTGAGCTTTAATATGATACTAACTTGTTGCTTATGCCACATACAGGTTAGTATTTTCCCTGCTGTTAAAGCACCTGTAGAGTTATCGGCACAGGTATCTTTACCTTCCAAGTATTTGTCTGAAAATTCTTATAACCTTACATTAGGCAACAAATATTTGCTTGTTCACTTGAACTAACTCTAAACTGCTACTGGGAAACTGTGCTAATATTTCCTAAAACTTTTTTCGCTCAGAAATTTGTTGCTGGCAGTGTCATATGTCTTGTATTGGATGTTTTTCTGTACCTGCCTGCCTGTATTTGAGCCATAGATCATAGGAAAACCTATATGTATTTTACATTCAGAAACATAGGGATGTATGGTTGCAGTTTTTTGGTAGTTCTTGTACAGAAAGTAAAGCTTTTCTGGCAATTATTGTATGATGCTTCTGGTAATTATCATATGATGCAACAGGTTACATCAGGAGAGTATATTCTGTGGAATACATTAGGAAAATGTCCTGTTGCAGCCACACCTAAAGCCTAGAGGGTGAGAAAATATTGTCCAAATCCATCTGATGGCCCTGGAAGCTTGCTGCAGTTCAATTATTTTAGGATGTGAGATCTCGAGCTTCTTTGAGCCAAGGGACCTTCGCATGCTTCTGTGCGTCAATATAACCATAATTTACCTCTTGGAGATAAATTTATGGACGCGTATTGAAATCTCTTTGTGCTTGTGTCTGTGTGTTCGCCTCGTTACATGTAAGCACCTCGCTCTTCTAACATGATTTTGTATTATTTGCTCTTATTTGTATTAATCAGCAAGGATCATCTTTTCTTCTACTTCCATGCTCACCTAGATACGCAATCTACTATTAGTTTGACCTAGTTATGTTATATATTTTGGTTAAATATCTATGGCTTGTCTGATCACCACTTAAATCTACTTTTAGTGTAGTCAAGGTCTTGAATGGTGTGAGTAAAATGAAACCGCTACTTCTTTCTTGTTGAGCTGGATAAATGTTGCGGAATACTTGATCAGTTCAGTAAAATCGATGCTGGATTAAGTTCTTCTTTTGAAATTTTAGCCGGAAAAGTAAAGCACAGAAATTGAAAATAATCTAGCAAGAAGAAATACTAGTATCCAACAAAATAGGTAGTTAAAGAGTAACTAGAAGCATCAAATTTAGAAATGAATGATACAGTCTTGATTTCAAGAGTAGATATTTTATTAACTGGAAAATGGATTGATTATCGAGTTTGTACTGAACTTTTAGTTCTCAGGAAAGATATCTTTCTGGAAGGTTATTTTGTTAAATTGTTTTTAGAAAAATTTACTATAGCATCTTTATTAGTAACATGTGTCTGTGAGATAAGAGGAACTAAAGGAAAAAACAGGAGATTTTGCACACTTATTGTGATTTTGGTGCACATTTTTTAAAGTTTCTAGTATGTAGGCTTCATTTTTATTTTATTTTATTTTGGGTAGAAAGCAAGTTGTACAAAAAACATGTATATATATATAAGTTGCAAAGAGACTGAGGCCAAACGCTTTCATATCGTGGCCGTTTGCTTTTTGCAATTGGCCTCCAATAGCAGAAGCTTCAACAAAATAGTAGCGCTTTTACATTTGTTGCGCTACAATTTACAACTAAACTATGGACATTCATGAGAAGAGAGTATAATAAAACAAAATTTTACAACTTACTATAAATTCATGAACAAACTTGCTAATGCCTACCTCTAGAGGCAAAGCCAACGGATTCTCTCTGACTCCGTATTTGTTGGCTCAGGTCTGTGCATTCAGACCGAAGAAAATCTATGAATTATCACAGAAACTTAAATTTCTCCTACGTCAATCTTGTTCCACATTTTCCCACCTTACTGACAATGCATGGCTTCCTTAGTTATGTATGTCATTCTTCTAATGCAATTCTAGATGAACGGTAGAGGTCATATGGAGCCCATAGGTAGTCCACCGTGCATGGCTTCCTGGAGTCCAATCTTAACCATGGCTTCCCCTTACCGCTCCAGTGCAATAGGCTAATCGGTCCAGGGTGAAGACTTCTACACTTGCCTTCAAAGTTATCACCGCCTAAACCATGTTGATTCCATCTATGATCCACTGCCTTAATATTGCCTGCAAATACGAGCAAAATTGGAGGCAAAGACCCCAGATGATAAATTTTCCTTTGCTTCTGTATGACCATCCACTCTTCAACCTTCTGTGTATAGCCCCCTTTTCTCCATTTATCAACATCAACCACCATTACACCTGTGTTGAAGTAGCAAGGTCTTCTTCCTTCAAAAGTTCTCGCCAGATTGACATCGGACCAAAATGTGTCCGTAAAATATGTCGTGAAATTTGCATGGCAGTACTCCGGCGCAGCTAGGACGCGGTCTCCCAAGTCCACACCCCACAGCTTTGCAATGTCGTCGACGACGATTATATCCGAGTCAACATAAATCACACGTTCCACATCCCTAGGGAGAATATCAGAAAGATAGATTCTTGCATAGTTCAGAGGTTGATCCAAGGCTTGTCTGATGGACTTGGAGATTTTTCCGCGAACAAGATTAGAATCGAAGTGATAGACTCTGAAAGTGAGGTAAGGGAAGGTGGATTTGATCAATGAGGATATCCCAGGCTCCAGACGAAGGGAAGAAAGTGGAAGGAAACATTCTCAGGGCATGTCGAATGCTGTAAAATTGACAAAATGGCGGCAACCGCGCCGCGGATGTAGTTTATATCAAGGGGCATGACTATATGGATGTTATCTTTCTTGCTTGAGCTGCATCCGTTGCCATTGCGAAAAGCCGGTGCCTCCCGAAAGGAGAGGATGGCGGATGCAGGCTTAGGAACGAGGTTGACGCGAATGCCATTGGTGAAAGAGGTGGTGGTTGTGAGGGGTTGCAAGAGGAGAGAGACAGGAGGCCAGCGAGGGAGATACAAGAGGTGTTGCAGCTCCAATTGGCCATCCTCCCCGATAGGCCAAAATTAGGTAGCTAAACTGTTTCCGCTATAAAGATTTTCTAGAGTTTTGGGTTTGATGAGGGAGACGAAGAAATATACCATTGGAAAGTTCAGGTTCAAATTCGAGAGAGAAAGTTTAGGGAAGTCCAACGGTCGAAGGAGGACAATGAGCTGGGGAGAGCAGCTTGGGAGGCAAGGAAAAAAAATCGGGAAAGTGTGTTTGACTCGTCGATGTTCGTCTTATCTCCAAATGCCATT